TTTTCATATCGTAAAATGCACTTATAGTAAGTATATGGTTCAGTGATGTTAAGTCAGTTTATACAGTGGTGCAAGCATCATCACAACTCAGTTTATGATTGCCTTTGTATTCTCTATTTTAATAAAGTATATTTAACATAAAATGTATCATCTTAACCACCTTCAAGTGTACTGCTCAGAAGTGTCACCAACATATTCACATTGATGGTCAACCAATCTCTAGATTACTTTTTAAAAGAGCAAATTTTATTGTGTAGATTTAAAAAATACAATGTGGGCTGGGGATGTGGCTCAAGCGGTAGCGCGCTCGCCTGGCATGCGCTGGGCGTTGGGTTCAATCCTCAGCACCACATAAAAATAAAATAAAGATGTTGTGTCCACCGAAAACTAAAAAATAAAAATTAAAAAAATTCTCTCTCTCTCCCTCTCTCTCAAAAAAAAAAAAAAAAAAAAAACAATGTGTCATGGGATACACATAGTAAAAAGGTACCAAAACGTCACAAGTGAAATGTCTGTCCTCTCACATTATAATCAAACTTCATTCTTTTTCTAACAAGAGCAATTAAGATTCACTCACTTATCCAGATCCCTTTATATCTAGAGAAATTGGAACTCCAGACCCCCATTCAAAGATACGTCCCCGTTGCCCCTCTACCCAGACCATGGCCAACACAATCTACTTTCTGCCTGTGTGGATTGACTTTTCTGGGTACCTCATATAAGTGGAATTATGCAGTATTTGTTGATGTTTTGGTATTTGTTGTTTTGTGACCGACTTATTTCGTAATGTTAAGGTTCATCCACATGGTAGCATATGTCAGAATTTCCTTCCTTTTCATTTTTTTTTTTTTTTTTAGAGAGAGAGAGAGAATTTTTTTTAATATTTATTTTTTAGTTTTCGGCGGACACAACATCTTTGTTTGTATGTGGTGCTGAGGATCGAACCCGGGCCGCACGCATGCCAAGCGAGCGCGCCACTGCTTGAGCCACATCCCCAGCCCCAATTTCCTTCCTTTTCAAGAAATTGAATAATATCCCATCGTATCACAGGCCACATTTTGCTTATCCATTCATCTGATGATAAACTCTTGGGTGGCTTCCACCTTTTAAATATTGTAAATACTATCACTATGAGCACAGATGTACAAATAATCTCTTAGAGACCCTGCTTTCAATTCCTTGGGGCTATATACCCAGAAATGGAATTGCTGGGTTATATGGTAATTCTATCTTTAATTTTGAGAAACTGCCAGACTGTTTTCTATAAGGGCTGCTCCACTTTACGTGTCTACCAACCATTGCCTTTAACATTTTATTTTACATTCAGCTCCAGAGTCATCCGCCACTGATTCATTATCCACTGGGTGGGTCTTCCACAATCCATCACGACAGTGAAGTGCTTGGGATGGACGTGGTGGTAACGTCCACTGTGTGGACTGGTGTAGCCTGCAGTGTGAAAGCCAAGCAAGGGACAAGAACTTATGTCCCTTCTCTCACAAAGGTTGTGTCACATGGAGATATGGTACACTGAAAATAAAGAAGTCAAAATTGCATTAATTCAGGAGAAGCAGGAGTCAGAGATGGGCATTCTGTAGGCATGCTGGGTTGTGAAAACAAAATATCTAAAACCACTGGCAACACAGTATCTATTTTTACTCTCTTGATCCTGTGGCTAACAGGCAGCTGGAGTCCCCTGCTCTGGCCCAGCATCTCAAGAGAGCATTGGAATCTATATGGCTAGCTTGGGAAAGATCTAAATTCAAGTTTTGAAGCATGGTTTCTAATGAAGGGCTATGCTTCTACATCATTATAAAGTGGAAAAATTGTACATCAAATCATAAATCAAGGACCATCTGTATGCAATGACATCTGACTCAAATTTTGAATCACAGTATACGCTATGAAGGGAGAATATTGGCTTCTATAGGTACCACAATAATAAGTGGTGCCTTGTTTGGATGAAGGAAGGCTGGGTTTTTTTTTTTGTTGTTGTTGTTGTTTTTGGAGGGGGGTTGGGATTTGAACCGAGAGTGGGGCCAGGCGAAGGGAGGTGAGGAACAAGAAGGAAGACATTTCCTAGCAGAAAGAAGAATTGGAATTCTGTAGAAAGAAGTAGACCTGCCCTCCAGTGAGACCTACACACTTCACCCAGACAGTTCTTGGATTCATAATTCAGCCCACATTTATTTGCTAGTGTTCACAGTGCCAATGGGAGCTACGGGGCCTCAACTTACCCATCATTGAAATGGAAATTGGAAAAAAAATAAAGAATTTTAATGAAGATGAAATAGTAAAACTTCAATATTCACAGACTGCTGAAAAATATACCAAAAAAGCACATTTCCTGAAAATTCCTTTCTGGAACAAAGAAATTGACTGGATTTTAAAAACTCAGTTGTCTAAGAAAAGATATTGAGTAGTTTAGTATCATCCTCTCCTTGGATCACTTCTCTTTTCTAAATCCCTTCCCACCCAGGGCTCTTTGTGGCTTAGGGAATTCTGGATGATTAAATGGTAACCTTTGGTTAGGGACTCCCGCACCCTCCATTCAGGCTCCTCTTTGCTCCAGGGTCTTACTTCCTTTTCTGGCTGTCCTATTAAAGGAAGATGCAAAACACGGACTCTGTCCTTTTCTGGATAGGACATTCGTGAGAGCCTTTCACTTGGGGGAAACTTCTGGACATGTGTTGGGGTGATTTCCATAGTCCCTAGCTTTTTCCAGGGCAGTTTGGTTTTCCTCCACCACAAGTGTTCCTGTTTCCAAGTCGGGTGTGTAGCCAGTTGTAACTGGAGGACAGGTACTGAATGTCCTAGAAAGTCGGAGTCAGCCCTAGGAATCCTCACAGCTCAGCGACTTTCTAGTTAAGTCACTTTGTGTCCTTGGGTCTCAGTTTCCTCATTTTCAAAACAGGAAACAATAGCATCTGGGCTGGGTTGTGGCTCAGAGATAGAGCGCTCACCTAGCATGTGTGAGGTCCTGGGTTCGACCCTCAGCACCACATTAAAAAAAAAAAAAGATACTGTATCTACCTATAACTGAAAAATAAATATAAAAAAAATAAACAAACAGGAACACAGTAGCATCTTACTTCTAAAGATAAAAAGAGAATGTGTGTTTTATGCAGTGTGCGGTATTTACCAGGGGCCCAATCAATTATCATCATCACTTGGAGATTCATGTACCACAATTTTAGCAGAAATGTTTTAATTATCACCTACTAAAATACATATAAACAACCATACCTCACGTGAAGTTTTCCTTAAACTTCTAGTATGTGTTAAGCTGTAAACCACTGTACATTCATTTAGGTTTGTAACTTATGTCTTCTGCCACACAGAGAAGGTGTTGGGAATATCAGTAAATTAGTTGGCAAGGGAAGAGTTAATTAGCCTTTTTATTCAATAGCAGAACTCTAAACAGCTTAGATATCGTATTAAACACATTCTTATTTCCAATTCCATCCTTGGCTGTAATTCCATCTTATTTGCTTTAGACAACTTACATAAACAATATATGACACTTTCAAGCAGTGGCTCAGAAACAGGAAGTCAGCCTTTTTGGATAAGGCTTATTGATAGCACCAATATCAAAAACGTGATCAAGCTTATTGGTTTTCTGCTTTGGATTGTCCAAACGCCCAGGTGAACACATTTATGAGCCCAGCATTTTATTCTGCTTGCATTCCTTCATGAGCTGGAAAGCACCTCTTACAAGCCGAGAACTTACCAAATAACTAATCAAGAAAATGTAATGCACAGATGTGGAAGGGTTGTATATTTGCACAGTCCCTTACAATGAAGTAAATGTCAACTAGAGGCATCAAGGAAACATCGAGCTTAGAAGAATGAAGATTTCGTCATTCATTCAACAATTTATTGAGCGGTTACATTGTGCAAGGCAGTGAGCCACATTAAATTTATGTAGATTTATGATGTAAATACACACATACCTATCTTCAGAAAATTCCAGGCACCCCTATATATATCGTTTCTGTAATAAACTCTGTATTGCAAAAAGGCCCAGTGATAATTAGTAACACCCAGCTACTCTGAGACTGCCTGTAGGGATTGCATGGTAGATGTAAGAGCATTGTCTCAGTAATAAAATATGATGTTATCAAGACATTCATGCCTCACGGGAGAAAAATGCAATTGCTTACTGTTTTGATATTATCTCTGACTATGCTTGCTTTTAATCTGTCTTTTCTATATTTAGTAGCCAGTCATTTTAAAGTTAAAAAAAAAATCAAAATCTACACTGCAACCACAGACCAAACCTTGTGAATATGAATGGGCGGAGTAGGGGGGTGGCATTATTCAGCATTTAAAGGGGGTAAATCACGGTGCGTAGTTATATGAAACCCGCACATTGGAGGGCCGCTTTAAGAGTTGCGATGGGTGGAAGGTGAATAAACCCCCATTCACCCTTCTTCTGTGGTTTCTAAACTCAATTTAAGCAAGGTCAATCACGAAAAAGGTGGAAGGCCACACAGGTCACATCTCAGGGTTTTTTCTTTCTTGTTTTTTTTGTAGATATAAGAATTGAATCAAAGTATTTCACTGTGAGAAGACCTCCCTCATCAGCTGGTGGATATCAACCTCAATTTTTGGAGCTCATTACTGAACACCCACCCACGTTCCAAAATTTTTAGGAATGCCTCTGGTTCTTTGATAAGTATACATAACCCCCTTTTTCCTCTCCAAGGACTCAGATAGTTGGAGCGAGGATGGGTCCCCTCGGATTTCGTCCACGCCCCAGCCAATCTGAGCCCGGATGCTAATTAGCTGAGCTCCCCAGATGAACACGCCTTTGTCACATGTAGGGCCGGACTACAAAGCCCAGAATGCTTCGCCCCTCCCTGATCAATGAGGGCTTATTTAAATGATCTCTGAGGTCTTGGACCCAGGCCAATCAGCTGTCAGGGCTCATGATAAATCGCAATGCATTATTGATAATAATAATTACTGGGACATGCGCGTTCTGGCCGGAGGGGGGTAAATTTCCCAACTCCAGGAATTTGTGGCGGAGAGGGCAAATAACCGCGGCTCTCCCGGCGCCCCGATGCTTGCACCATGTCGAGGCGCAAGCAGGCGAAACCCCAGCACATCAACTCGGAGGAGGACCAGGGCGAGCAGCCGCGGCACCAGCCGACTCCAGAGTTCGCAGATGCGGCCCCAGCGGCGCCGGCGGCGGGGGAGCCGGGTGAGTGGGGCTGGAGCGCCCGCCGGGGCGCTGGAGTTTCCCGGACGTTCGCGGGACCCTCGAGGGCGCGGGCTGCGGGGCGCTGCGGCTTCTAGTGCTGATTCTGGAACCGGGTTCTGGGGACTCCCTCTAAGGGAAGGGAGGCAGCCTCATCCCCCCCAACCTCCGTCTTTGCAGATTTTACACTTTTTTTTTTTCTCTTCTTTCTTGTGTAAGTTTCACCCCCAGCTCTTGCCCCTCTTATTGTAAAGTTGACCCCCACTCTCTGCTGTCTCCCTCACTCCTAAAAGGGTCTCCTCTCCTAGTCCTCAGCTTCTTTCTTAATTGGTTCCACTCCTTTAACTAGTAACCCCCCCACCCCCCGCGGTAACTTCGGTTCCCCCTCCCTCTCTGGCGCCGGTTTTAAAAGAAAGAGACCCCAAGGCTCTCCTCCCCGTCCACCACCCCTTCGGGGGCTTTTGTAGGAGGGTGGAGGAGGGGCGCACCCCTGGAAGACCCCCCGGAGGAGGGCGATCTGTTGCACGCGCCCCTCCCAGGCCAAGTGGGGGAGGGGGCGCGACCTCTGCCCACCCGCAGGGGTTGGGGTGCTGGCCACCCGCGCTGAGGAGGGGGCTGGAGCGCCCTGAGAGTTGGTGAAGAAAACTCTATTTCTCCTTTCACGTTTTTTTTCTTTTTTTCTGTTGGTTTTCGCCTTTTCCCGGAGGCTACGCCGCCTGCCAATCTTCGCCCTAACCTTTCGGGGCCTGACCTCCAGCCATCTTTGATTTCCGACTTCCTAAAAATAACCGCGGTAACCCGAGGGGTGCTGGCCCCAGGGGACCGGGGCAGCCGGCGCACAGCCACCCCGCCGTGGTGCACCCGCCGGGCTCCTTGCACGTTTTTTCTGGGGAGCTGGGCGAGGTGAAAGGGGCGAGGTCGGGCCAGGGTTGGGCGGTCGCGGCCAGGGCGAGTTCCTGGGGCTGCTGACCCGGCCCACGTTTCCGCGGCCAGCGCCTCCGGGTCGAGAGGCGTTCGGGACACCAGTGTAGCCGGGATTCTGGGACAAACTCCCATTCTCCCCGGCCGCTTAGCCGAGGAGGTTTAGGAGCGAGTCGATTTCCCACTATCTCCTCTCCGTCGCGGCCCGCCAAATTGTCGCCTGATAAATTTTGAGCCATATGCGTGGGGGGAGGGGGCATTTTGTAACCTCCTCTCGGAGCCTGCCTTCTAATTTCCCAGTTGATGGGCTGTGCGTGGCAGCCCCGGACACCAAGAAGCCAGTTCGACACTGGTTTTGGGGAGAAGACGGTTGCTACTTCTTGGTTCCCGTACTCTCCTTTGGTCGGGGAAGGAATGCAATTTTCCAGATATATACTAGTTAAAATTAAGTCACCGCGTCCCCCCACCCCCTAAACAAAATTTCCAGGGCAAATGAAAAATACTGGCTTGCCCGAGGGGGTGGGCGTGGGATTTCGGGGCTTCTGATGGTCAGAGCAGGGCACACTCGAGGGCGCAGGAGCCGGAGTGGACTCCCTTTGTGCCTCGGCTGGGAGGTGGGGGGAGCGTGGAGAGGCTTCGTGGCCTGGCCCACCTGGAACAAAAGGGTTAACCCTCCGCCTGCCCGCCCGCCCGCTTCCTCCCGAGAGGAGGGGCGAGCTCCTGGCGCTGACCCCTCCCCTGGTCCTGCTTTGACCTCCTCTTCCCTCTTCATTTTGGGTGGGCGCACACAAGTGGGGCTTTGCACCTTTTAGGGAAAGCTTGTTACCGGAGGGCTTCCGAAATTTACGTTGGCCGGAGCGTAAGTTAGCTGAGCTGGGTCCGAATCTCCGGCCTGGCTGTGCGCTCCCACTGCGATTTGGGAGGGAGTTCACTATTGATCCGCAGGGTTTGTGCAAACCAGCCTGGCCGAGTTGCGCGCGGTCGCCCCCTGGAGGCGAGTTCTGAAGCCAAGCCGTCTGTTGGGAGGCGGGTCCCAGCACCGCCGCTGGCTCACACCTGGTGAGTGGGGCCGGCTGAGGAGGGTGTTGTGCAGAGTGCTAGGTTAGGCCCAGGACGGACACCCCTGGGGATTTCTGCCAGTGACTCCAGCCAGTGCCGTCTGTGCCCATTATTCATCGCCAAGGTTTTGGAATTCTTGGAAAGAATTCCTTGATCCTAGAATGTATTTGCAGAGCCCTCAGTTGCCGCTTTGGGACAGTATAGTTTCCCCAAGTAGGACTTTTTTTTTTTTTTTTTTAATGGCTACATTTTGGATGTTTGCATTTGACGAACCTCATAAATAAATGATAGGTATGATTTTAAAAAATTGGACTGGCTTTATTTTGCCACGCTCTTTGAGAATGCAGTTGGGGTGGGGTAATAATTAGCAGGTCAAAAAATCTGCAGGTGGTCGGGAAGGGAGCTAACACTACTTAGGGAAAATTAGCATTTTCTCAAAAGGGTTTCAAATGCCCTTTGTGCTAAACTGGATTACAACCATCAACGATTAAGATTCCCAAGTTTCAAGTAACTTCCTAAAATGACCTACACTGGCTTTAGTGAGGTTTCAGGCCAATTCATCTGAGTTTCTCCCCCAAAAGAAGAGGGGACTGCAATTTGCCCACAACCCCTTTTTATTCATTAAAAATAAATTGCATCGTTAAATCCGTTCTTCAACTGTAAGAACCGGGCCCCCTACACTCCTGGGCTCAAGTCAGTTACACTTGTGTGGCTCCTGCAGTTAGTGAGTTTTCCTGTAGGTAGGGGCTGGGAACCATTTTGGGAGGCTGGAGATGGTTATCTTTTCCTCTTTTGAAATGTGAAGTGTTGGTGGGTGCTTAGGGAACTCGTTGGTGGTGTTTTTTTAAGGCATTAGAGCAGGGGTTGTGTTCCTGTCTGGTTGCATGAGCTTCAGCAGTGTGAACAGGAGGCTAACTTCATTTTTTTTCCCCCCTGAGTTTTTGGGTTCCTTATTACAACGGTGATAAGATGATAGTTAGATTATTTGAGTTGTAGAAGTGTGTTAAGAATGTGATCAATAATTTTGTCAAAAAGAAAATGTTTTTAGTTTTACTATTGTGTCAGGATGGTGTGGTGCTGCTCACTGAAATAATTCTGCAGAGAAAGTAGCCTACTCTGTGGTCGACCCAGTCTGGACCTCAGGTACATGATCTTTAGTTCTCACAACCAATTGTGGCTTCAGGTTGGGATGACTTTGCCCACGGTGCCTGGCCTGCTTGGTTTTTTTCAGCCTTGCCCTAAATCCAAGGGGTTGCGTTTGTGGTGGTCTTTGAGCAGTTGGTGGTGGCATGGGGTTATCTTCCTTCTTTCCCAGATGAAAAAGACATGTCTAGTGTTTGAAGCTGGTTGGGTTTGGTAATCACCCTTTCAGTTTTTCAAATATGCCCTTCTAGGCTTTAGATGAAGAGGTTCTAGGGAAGCAAGTTGGAAATGATGTTGGCACTTGGTTTCTTTGGGCCTTACTGCCCTGGAAAAAGTGATAGGGAACTAATTTCTTGAATTCTTTCCCCTTTCATAGCACTTTTAGCCTATTGTACTTTGGATTATTTAAAAACAAAAATTTTAGACATGTTTAAAGGCCTCTAAATCCAGACAAGAACTGCATCACTAGTCACTGCCATTAAAAAAAAAAATTTTTTTTTTCACACTCTGGTCAGGCTTTGTTCGGGAGGTATCCTCAGGAGGGAACAAAGCCCCTTGCCCTCTGGAGTCTGCAAATTTCAAAATGGGGCACATCTCTAACCCCGATGGCCAGATAGATCACACACCTTAGCAGTCTTTTTTGATCTTCTTACTCTTCCTTTTTCACAGAGCCTCCCTGGACGTTGATCCAAGGCTCCTTGAAACTTTTTAAAAATTTTAATTAAGTAGAAATTTAATTTGGGGTCTAATTTGCCATCTACACATTTTTAAAATTAAACTGGTTAACAGGGCCCTTGCCACTGGCTCAGCAACACTTGGGGACCTAATTTCCTTTTGTTTTTTTGGTAAGCCCTTATCTGGGTGGTGGGGGAGGGTAGGAGATGTTGTGTGCCTTAGATAATCTGCTCATAGTCATTCTTCTAATATAGGAATGAGAAAGCAGATAAGCCCGAGTCATAATGCTTCCCTCAAGATACACAGGTTTTAATTTTTAAGCGTTTTAGCGTCTCCAGAATTTGATTGGCCTCTAGCAGATTAACTTTCTTCCTGCACAATACCAGGAGTATTCTCTATCCATTTGGCTGTGATTGAATCTAAGACCCCTGCTGGGTTTACTGCATTCTTCCAACTTATTGGATAACTAGATGCTGAGAGATAACATTCCTAAAATTCGGGGTGGGGGTGGGGCCCAGGGATGGAAGAAGGAGTTGTTGTGTAATCCCTCTGAACTTTGCTTTTTTCTTTTCGGGTTAACTTAAGCATACCCAGCCATTGTTCCTCACGGAGTCCTCTTACTCCTTGGCAAATACGCCCTCAGGATGTGCCAGGGGTGGTGGGGATGCACGAGTACTTTTTACTGCACAGGCAAACAGAGCTGCTGCTGTTTTAAGACTCAAGCGGGATGTTGCCGGTGCGGCTTCCAGGCTTGTGTATACAGTGAAGGCAGCTGGTTTTCGGGCTGTAAATCACTCTGGGAACCAGTAGATCCTTCCAGCAGAGGAGCTTAACCTTTTTTATGCCGTTGAAGATCCACGGGATGCCAAGGGAACAGAAGTGCTGTTCCCCAAAATGAGACCTTCGTGATGTGCGCCTGGCCCTCCGTGTCTGCGGGCTCTGCATCTGCAGATTCAACCAAGCACATGTCAAAAAATGTTTGGGGAAGGGCTGGGACTGTGGCTCAGCAGTAGTGCACTTGCCTTGCATGTGTGAGGCACTGGGTTCGATTCTCAGCACCACATATAAATAAATAAAATATCAACAACTAGGGGGGGAAATGTTTAGGGGAAACCTTGCATCTGTACCCGCATGCACAGGCTTTTGTCTCTTGCCCTGGCTCCCTAAGCCACACACTTTAGAACAAGACTTCCCCCACATTTACATTGTATTAGGGGTATTATGAGTCACCTGGGGAGGATTCAAAGTATGCAGAGGGATGTCCACATTATATGCAAATGCTGCGCCATTTTGTATCAGGGACTTTAGCAGGCATGGATTTGGGTATCCTCTGCGTTTCTGGAACTGGGTCCTGGTCCTCCTGCTTGTACCCACGGGCCTATATTAATTAATATAATATATAACAATTCCTAATACAATAAGTAAGAAGATCAGCATCCTGCCAGGTAACCACCAAATTGTCAAGTCATTGCACCAACTGTAGGCCAGGTGAAAATGTGTGTGTTTGTTTGTGACAGTGTCACAGGCTCTGCTGATACCACTGTCACTTATTCCTCACATGCCAAATTAAAAGAAATGCCCATTTTCAGTTCTTACGAAAGTATTTTTTTCCTAATTTCATGAACCCCTGCTTAAGAATGTCTGCTTTAGAAGCTAGGGCTGTGGCTCAGCGGTAGAGAGCTCACCTGGCGTGTGTGAGGCACTGGGTTCAGTTCTCAGCAGCAAGTAAAAATTAATTATTGTGCCCATCTAAAACTAAAAAAATTAAAAGATTGCTTTTAGGAGCTGGGGTTTGTGTAGTTCATTGATAGATCGCATCTTTAGCATATACAGGGCTCTGGGTTCAATCCCCAGCACTCTGCCCAACAACAAAAATTCCTGCTTTAGAATGTACCTTCAGTGAGAGAATATTGCCCCTAAAAACGATTAACATCTACCGGGGAGAGGGACAGAAACATTTATTGATATGATACTGGTTTGTGATGCTCCAAAGAAACCACAGTGTGACATACTTATGATACATTATAGCAGGACATGGTGGGTCAGCAATTTACAGAGACCCGCCCAGAAATAAGGGGCTGGGTATGTGGCTCTGTGGTAGAGCACCCCTAGGTTCAATCCCAGTACCATGCGGGGTGGGGGGTGGACTAGGTCCCTTGTCTTATTGTCCTCCTTAACTAGTATCTAAGAACTCAGCTGTATGTCACCTTGAGCCACTTAATTATTTCTGAGCCTCGGTTTTCACATGTACAAAGCGGCAGAAAGATGCTGGTTTGGTTAAGTGGATTTGAAGATAAATGAGTTCAGGCACAGGCCTTTGACGAGTATGGGTGGTGGGTAGAGGTTTGCCTGGGCCTAAGGAGCAGCGTGCAGAGCGTGACATTTTTGCGGGAACTTTTGGGTCTTCAGAAGCAGGAGAGAGACACAAGGGTGACAAGAGGAGGTAGCTTGACCCAGGAGTTTTAGATGTGTTTTAGATGTTTAATGTCAGTCTAAAAGAAGCCGTAGGACAAAGGTGGGTACAGTTTACAGTTTTCTCTTCCACCTGAGTTCCCAGGTGCATTCTCCAGGAGGTGGATACCAGCAACTGTTTCTCTTGTATCATTTTCCGGTTCCATGTACATATTTATGTCTTTATCTGTGAGCCCAAGTGGGAGCACGTTATATACACATCCTGTTCTCTTCCCTTTTTTTCCCTCTTATGAAATAACTCCTGGGCGGTTGTTCTGTGGAGGAGCACACTAACACAGTCTACTTGTCTTGGTAGGATACAATGTTCATCTTTTGTACACTCTAATTTATTTAACCAGAAACTTCCTGATGGACAGTGTGTGTCCATTTGTGTACTTGTTTGTTAATATGAGAAATGCTGCAAGAAATACCTTGCAATACAGGAAGTAGATTCCTAACAAAGGAATTGCTGAGTCAAGGAGAATTAAACTAAAATTAAGATGTTGCCAGATGACTCCCTGAAGAAGCTATATCCATTTATGTTCCCTACCTGTGGGTGTATTTCCCCCAGAGAAAGTTTTTGACACATAATTACAAAATTGCTTTTCCAGAAAGATTGTGCCAGTTAACACCACCCCCGTTACCTACCCATACGCACTGCATTTGAGCACATGAATTGCATTAACAGATACCATTGATCTGGGAATTGATGAGATTTTTTTTTTCTTCGTCTTTGTTTTTTAACTTGACTCTTAACCTAGGACTGAGTCAGAGTGCTATGGAGGCCTTAGGTCTTTGTGCTCTGCCTCCCCTATGCAACTGTCTCTGGAAGTAGCCTTGTGGCATCATATCCCTTCTGGGGCTGAGGATGTAACTTAGTGGTAGGGCACTTGCCTAGCATGCATGAGGCCTGCGTTTAATACCCAGTACTGCAAAAAAAAAAAAAAAAAAAAAAAAGGATGTGGAGGGAGGAATAGTGGTGGCACATGGCTAATCCCAGTGACTCAGGAGGCTGAGGCTGGAGGATTGCAAATTTGAAGTAAGCCTGGGAGAATTAGCAAGGCTCTGTCTTCGTATGAAAAATAAGCATCCCTGGTTCATCCCAGTGCCATAAAGAAGGAATGTGTGTGGTTTTTCTTGTGTGTGTTTTACATGTGTTTGTGTGTTGAAAAGAGGGATACTTTTGGAATCTCAAAAATATCCTTGAGAAAAAATAGCTGCAATGTAAAGACATGAAAGGAAACATACAAATGGTGGGTCCATCCTTGCCCCCACAGCCCTGCTTCCTCTGCACACAGTAGGTGGTGAGCATGGTTGGTGAGGTAGGCACTGGATGACTTTGGAAGTCTTCTTTTTACTCAGTCTGAAATTGGTAAAAATGAAGTCAGTTTATTAAGGTTGTTCTTCAAGATCCATCCTTCCTCCAAACTATTAGAAGCTTTTCAGTCAAAATCCATGGTTTACTAACATAAAAAGCAATTGTTTATTTATTTGAAAGTGGTGTGCAAGCTTGCCTTGGCTCCATCTACATGGAAAAGTCACACATAGGCTTCATTTTAAACAAAAGAAGTCCTGCTACTTCCTGCTTCTGGGGCTTACATCACCTGACTTGTGCAGCATGCAGAACTTACACTCTTTTTTTTGCACTGTGGGTGAACCAGGATTTCCTTTGTCACCACTGTAAACAGTTTTGCCTTTACAAACAAACAAACAAACATGTGCACACTTGATAACATGGATCTTTGTGCTTGTGCAAATGTGTGTATGGCTCAGGTTCACAAGCCCAGAGGTGCTAGGTCTAAGATGTGCCTTTTGTCCTGAGACTCCAAGCTCCAGTGCCTTCTTTGGGGAGGGCCTAGCCTACCTGATAGGGTGGCAGGGGGCTGGACAGAGACTCCCCACCAGGCTTCAGATTCCTAGGACTCAAGCCTCTGGGTACAGCACAGTCCTCAAAAGGGAATCAGAATGTGTACGCTAATACTAACCCTAATCTGGATAGGATCCACTTGCCCAAAAAATCTACGGGTCAGTCATTTTTAAGAAGATAAGACTCAAAAGACTTAGCTTTTGTACACAGATGTTCCTTGACTTATAGTGGGATTACATCCCGATAAACCCAGAGTAAGTTGAAGTTATCGTGAGCAGAGAATGCAGTTAATATACCCAACTGACTGAGCACCCCCACCTAACCACGCTGTGGTGCTGAAGATCTCACTTGCTGCTGGTGATTCTGTGGATTTCCAGCATCACAAGAGAGGATTCCCAAGCAAAGGTCAAAATGCAGAATTCCAAGTACTGAGCCTGTGTTGCTGTCACACTGTCATTTCTTTCCCCTACTTCCATACTTCTCACTTTCTATAGTGGCTTCTTTTTCCTCTTAAAATCCTAAATGTTAAGACACTGCAGCGGGTATGTCGTAATCCGAAAAGTCAATGAAGTCTTTCTACGTTTGTGTCTTGCTTGGGCATTGCAGTCTTTTTCCGTGTGTTTCCCACATATGAAGCTGTTCTGGGAACATTCTTCTTGTCCTTCCTATCTCAATTCACCCAAGTTGCTGTGCTCTGTATTTCAAATGAATTTAGTGTTACCATCTGAATTGTTGGCACCTTTAAGCTTTTGTTGCCCCTGGAAAGCGGGTGCCGGGTGCGTTGGTTGAATGAGTCATTGACTGCCTTTCACTTACTATGGGCTGAAGAAGGAGGTCAGCAGCCATGATCTGAGCAGGTTTAATGTCCTTCTCTTAGACAGCATAACCCATCTGTTTGCCTCTGTAAGCTGACTCTGAGAGAGGTGCAGGGGTTGGGATGGGATTGTTTTGATAAGTTATATTCCTTTCCTAGGGTTGCCATTAACCGTCTTAGACTGGATGACTTAAATGAACTGAAATTTATTCTCTCACAGGTATGGAGGCCAGGCCGGTCCAAATGTAGGTGATAGCAGGTTTGGTTCCTTCTAGAGGCTCTGAGGGAGACATCTGGTACATCTCAAATCTCTCTTTCTCAAATAACAATACCAGCCTTGGATAAACCTAGGCCCGGTCTAGTTACATTTGCAAAGACCTTATCTGATCAGGTCACACGCACAGGTTCGTGGTGGGGGGATGTGCCACGTGGGGAAGTAGGACCATCTTTTTTTTTTTTTTTTTAATTCGTCCCCCTGGTGCTGAGTTTGGAACCCAAGGCCTCACATGGGCCAGGCGCACGCTCTACCACTGAGCTGGCGCTGGCCATATCTTTTGGGGGAGCATAATTCAGCCCACAGCTTTGTTCATTCCGACCTTTTGGGTGCCTCTGTCTCCGAGGCCAGCCTTCTCCCGTGGGAACACCCGAGGAGTGCCTGTCATTGAAGTCTGGTTCTTTCCTAGGTGTCATGTGTCCTTTCCTTGGGTTGAGTTCTTAGCTTTTTTCTGTCTTGTCACAGGTGCTTCAATGAACCACACGGGCAGTGGCGATGAAGCAGGTGGGGACAAAGCCACTGCGAAGCGGCTCCGCCAGGAGGACACTCATATCTGTGAGAAATGCTGTGCCGAGTTCTTCAGCCTCTCGGAGTTCTTGGAACATAAGAAAAATTGCACTAAGATTTCACCTGTCCTCATCATGAATGACAGCGAGGGACCAGTGCCTTCAGAGGACTTCTCCCGAGCGGTGCTGAACCACCCGCCACTCAGCCCAAGCAGTAAGGATGGTCACCAGGGGAGCAGCGGCAGCACCAAGGAGAAGCTGGGCTCCGAGCCTGTCATGTACTTGAAGGCAGAGGCCGCCCTGCCGCCCTCGCCCCAGGACATAAGCTATTTACCCAAAGGCAAAGTGGCCAACACTAACGTGACTCTGCAGGCACTCCGGGGCACCAAGGTGGCGGTGAACCAGCGCAGCGCCGACGCCCCGGCCGGCCCGGTGCCCAGCGCCCACGGCATCCCGTGGGTCCTGGAGCAGATCATGTGCCTGCAGCAGCAGCAGCTCCAGCAGCTGCAGCTCACCGAGCAGATCCGCGTGCAGGTGAACATGTGGGCGGCGCACGCCCTGCACTCGGGCGGGACCGACGCCCTGAAGACCCTGGGCAGCCACGTGTCCCAGCAGGTGTCCGCCACCGTGGCGCTGCTCAGCCAGAAGGCCGGAAGCCAAGGCCTGTCTCTGGATGCCTTGAAACAAGCCAAGCTACCTCATGCCAACATCCCTTCCACCGCTGGCTCGCTGTCCCCAGGGCTGACCCCCTTTGCCCTGAAGCCAGACGGGTCGCGGGTGCTCCCGAATGTCGTGTCTCGGCTCCCAAGCGCTTTGCTACCTCAGGCCCCAGGTTCTGTGCTCTTCCAGAGCCCTTTCTCCGCCATGGCGCTAGACCCATCCAAGAAAGGGAAAGGGAAGCCACCGAACATCTCCGCTGTGGATGTCAAACCCAAAGACGAGGCGGCCCTCTTCAAGCACAAGTGTAAGTACTGTAGCAAGGTTTTTGGGACTGATAGCTCCTTGCAGATCCACCTCCGCTCCCATACTGGAGAGAGACCCTTCGTGTGCTCTGTCTGTGGTCACCGCTTCACCACCAAGGGCAACCTCAAGGTACACTTTCACCGACACCCCCAGGTGAAGGCGAACCCCCAGCTGTTTGCCGAGTTCCAGGACAAAATGGCAGCAGGCAATGGCATCCCCTATGCACTCTCTGTCCCCGTCCCTGTAGATGAATCGAGTCTCTCTTTAGACAGCAAACCTGTCCTTGTAACAGGGACCCCTTGCGTAGGGCTACCTCAAAATCTCTCTCCGGGGACTAACCCCAAGGACCTCCGGGGTGGCCCGCTGCCCGGCGACCTGCAGCCTGGGCCTTCTCCGGAAAGTGAGGGTGGACCCCCACTATCTGGGGTGGGACCCAACCATAATTCCCCAAGGGTTGGTGGCTTCCAGGGGAGTGGGACCTCCGAGCCAGGGTCAGAGACCCTGAAGTTACAGCAGCTGGTGGAAAACATCGACAAGGCCACCACGGACCCCAACGAATGTCTCATCTGCCACCGAGTCCTAAGCTGCCAGAGCTCTCTCAAGATGCATTACCGCACCCACACCGGGGAGAGGCCTTTCCAGTGCAAGGTCTGTGGCCGAGCTTTTTCTACCAAAGGCAACTTGAAGACGCATCTTGGGGTTCATCGAGCCAACACATCTGTAAAGACCCAGCATTCGTGCCCCATCTGCCAGAAGAAGTTTACCAACGCGGTCATGTTGCAGCAGCACATCCGGATGCACATGGGTGGCCAGATTCCCAACACGCCTCTGCCAGACAGCCCCTGTGACTTTACGGGTTCCGAGCCCGTGATGGTCGGGGAGAGTGGCAGCACAGGTGCCTCCTGCCCCGAGGAGGTCGAGAGCATTGATGTAGATGAAGTAACGTCCCAGGATGCCCCCGCTGGCTCCTCAAAGGTCCCTGCACCTCTTCCCAGCACCCACGTGGCATCACCCACCCTGGGGTTCCCTGTGATGGCTTCCCTAGATGCCCCAGTGAAGGTGGGTCCTGCCCCTGGGGGCCTGCAGCGCCAGAGCAGCCGAGAAAATGGCTCAGTGGAGAGCGACGGCCTGACCAACGACTCGTCCTCGCTCGTGGGCGACCAGGAGTATCAGAGCCGAAGCCCAGATGCCATGGAAACCATGTCCTTCCAGGCCGTGTCCCCGGCCAATAGCCAAGCAGAAAGCATCAAGTCCAGGTCTCCCGATGCTGGGGGCAAAGCTGAGACCTCCGAGAACAGCCGCCCCGAGATGGAAGGTGATAGAGCTTTGGATTTCACTTATGTCCCTTGTGGGCTCAAGGTCATCAAAAAGGAACCTGGGTTGAACTTTTGCAAACGGAGTATGATGTGAAGCAGCTCCTCTGTAGGGCAATTAGCTTTCCTGTACTTCTGGGTAGAGGGACATAATAACCACCTCTGTCCTAGCCGTGAACAGGCTTTTTACTAATAGTGGTTAATGCAAATTGGGTATGGACAAGCATCATTATTGTTGGTTTTTATTTTTGTTTTTGACCCCATGGGGATCTAGGGGTAATCTTAAGCAAATCCCAGTAGCAGTGGGCAAAACTGCTTTTTGGCCACTGAAATGAACTATAGTTTCTTGATTCTGAGGTCTTGCTCCCTAATGGAATGTTCACAAGTCATTTATGAAGGGGGGTGGGTAATATCTTAAGTGTACAAATCAATTTGGGGCACGTATTGATGTCATTAATAGTAAGATAGGGTAACAGGTGCATCATAGAATCAGATAGATAGGTTCTGGGCAGGTTTTAAAGGTAACTCTTGATGCAGAAACTTGAACTTGAGTTACGTGTATTCCCATGTTGCCCATTCTTTGATGCAAAACTGAAAGGGTCCGTTTTCCAGTCTCTATTCTTTGTGCAGATGAACAATCCAAAGGCAAGCTGCTGGTGAGGTGTCATTTCCTGTAAGCCATCTCCTCTGGTTTAGTGGGCAGTTGTTTTCAAAGCTGTCTTGTTTCTAAGGATGAGTGGGTGTTGGATGATAAAGGTTTGGATTTTCTTCCCCTCACATACTAGGTCGTAGCAGTCTCCCATCAACGTTTATTCGAGCACAACCCACCTATGTCAAAGTTGAAGTTCCCGGCACATTTGTAGGACCCTCCACCATGTCCCCAGGCATGACACCTTTGTTAGCGGCCCAGCCACGCCGACAGGCCAAGCAACATGGCTGCACACGGTGTGGGAAGAACTTCTCATCCGCCAGTGCCCTTCAGATTCACGAACGCACGCACACTGGAGAGAAGCCTTTCGTGTGCAACATATGTGGGCGAGCGTTCACCACCAAAGGCAACCTGAAGGTGGGTTTCGCTGTGCTTTCTGGCAGGGTGATTTATCGGTGTGTTTCGTGATAAATTCCACTTAAGGAATTTTGCGTGTGTGTGTGTGTGTGTGGTACTGGGGATGGAATCCAGGGCCTTACACATGCTAGACAAATGCTCTACCACTGAGCTACATCCCCAGCCCAATAAATTCCATTTAAGACAAGGGAGGTGCTGGGGGTGTAGCTCAGTGGTAGAGCACTTGGCTTAGCATGTGTAAGGCCCTAGGTTCCATCCCCAGTACTGCAAAAAAAAAGAGGCAAGGGATATATAATCACATCTCATAAGTGATGGCTCTTGAAATATCTTTTTTTTTTTTTTTTTTTGGTACCAGGGATTGAACTCGGGTACTTGACCCCTGTGCCACATCCCCATCCCTATTTTGTATTTTATTATTAGAGACAGGTCTCACTGAGTTGCTTAGCCCCTTACTTTTGCTAAGGCTGGCTTTGAACTCATGATTCTCCTGTCTTAGTCTACCGAGCCTCTGGGATTAGAGGTATGTGCCACTGTGCCTGGCTCTAATTTTCTTTTAATAGTTAAGGGCTGGGCTGTAGCTCAGTGGTACAGCACTTGATGGGACATCGAGCATGCATGAGGCTCTGGGTTTGATCCCTAGCGCAGCCAAAAAAAAAAAAAAGCTAAGTAGATCCATAGAATAAGTCTGGAAACAGAAGATCTTTGTTATTAGTTGTGAGCTAATATTGATCATTTATGCATTGGTTTAACCTTCCAGGCTTGACAACCACTGAATTTCTGTTTCCTGGCCTGCTAAGTTGAGTTAAATACCATGATTAAATATGATTATTATATAAATGCATGTCCGGAAGCACTGGAGTTTAAAACAAACAGTAGCCTCCAAGTTAATAGCCGAGCAGCTGAGTCCTTCCAGAGAGTGGTCTGTGCTATTACTGCTGTAGGAGGAGCTGCCCCTGTGAAGGGTGAAAGTGTCCTGCAGATGGGAAGAGGGCTCTGGGGTTTTCCACCTGGCCCCACCTCTGGTTTGCTGTATAGCTCTGAGCAATGTGCATCCCCCTGGGTCTTTCATCAGTGCGTAAGCCCCTGGCTTGTTTGGGCAGGTGGCTTGCTGTGACTCGGTCTCCCTGGCTGCCCTGGGTGGTGGTAATGATGAACTCCAGGGTTGTCCTGGAGCAAGACCAAGTGCTCTTAAGTAGAACCTTCCCAGTCACTGCTAGCAACAGCAGTGAGCAGCGCTAGTGATGCACAAGCAGCCTCTTCTGTTCCGCCCCGTGGGGTGGCCACTGGTCTCCAGGGTGTCAGTAAAGATGCATTGAGTGCCTGAGAAACCTGATACCTCACGCAAGGGTTTTTAAACTAAAAAAAAGAAGCTAAAAAAAATATTCGAAAACTTGAAGGGCAGGCAGGAGAAATAATTATGGAAAGCATCCAGGGGACAGGTAGGGGGGTCTTTCCTTAGGAAGACCTACATTGAATAGCATCTCCTTCTCATCAAGGCCTTCTGTGGCTTTCCCAACCAGATTTCAGTTTTGTTTTTTCCCAGTGCTGGGGATAGAACCCAAGGCCTTGGTTTTTGTTGTTATTGTTATTTAATGGTACCAGGAATTGAGTCCAGGGGCACTTAACCGCTGAGCCACATCTTTAGCACTTTTTATTTTGAGACAGGGTCTCACTGTGTTGCTGAGGGGCTTGCTAAATTGCTGAGGCTGGCCTTGAACTTGTGATCCTTTTGCCTCAGCCTCCCAACTCCCAAGCCACTGGGATTACAAGCGGAATAGGACAAATATTGACCTTGACATTTGGAACAGTGCCTGGCATGTAGCAGATGTTTGCATAAGTACACACACAGAGACAAGAGTCTAGGCACTGCCTTGGTCTCTCTAGGCAGGAGTGCTGGCCAGATACTGCCAGATCTCTGCTTCCCCCTTACCGAGTATTTGAATTTTTTTTTTTTTAATATATAATCTACTTCCTGAATAAAAAAAAAGTATATTGAGAGACACTCTTTGGGTAGAACCAAAGCCACATGCAGGCTGGTTTGGTCTTGCTGGGGAGCAGTAGAATATTTGCTAAAAAACTCTGTCCTGTCTGCAGGTCCACTACATGACACATGGGGCAAACAATAACTCAGCTCGCCGTGGGAGGAAGCTGGCCATCGAGAACACCATGGCCCTGTTGGGTACGGATGGAAAGAGAGTCTCCGAAATATTTCCTAAAGAGATCCTGGCACCCTCGGTACGTGTGGACCCTGTCCCTGTCGTGTGGAACCAGTACACCAGTGTGCTCAATGGTGGCCTGGCCGTGAAGAACAACGAGATCTCCGTGATCCAGAGTGGCGGCATTCCCACCCTACCGGTTTCCCTGGGGGCCAGCTCTGTGGCCAGCAGCGCCACGGTCTCCAAGATGGACTCCCAGTCTGGGGGCGGTGCCGAGGTGGAGAAGCCGGGTGTTGCCGACAGCGTTGCCAAACACCAGTTCCCTCACTTCCTGGAGGAAAACAAGATCGCAGTCAGCTGAGCCCAGGAGAACCTGCCAGCCAGGAGAAGTGCAGATCTGGTGTAATGGATGGACTGGTTTTTGGTTTTCTTCAAGAACCCATCTCCTCTTTTCTTTATTCTTACTGATATGCAAATGATGTTTACGGTTGTGACCTCAACCTTGGGCAGTCCTACAATCACGATTGTTGCTATGCTGCTTTGCAAAAAAAGGAAAAATTGCAAAGCAAAAATAGGCATACCAAAACAGACTAGAACCTTTTTATTTTTATTTTTTTTTTCTTTTGGAAAGAAGCGGGTCTTGCAAAGTAGCTTTGTTACTTGCGACAAACTGTATGTATACATAGAAGCTTTGTACAACCTAGAGTGACTTTCCAAAGACTGTTGCCTCTTTCAGGGTGAAACAGTTGGAAATTACTGAGCACCCTGGTGGAAAAGACAACTACTTAGCCTAATTGGGTGGGTGGGGGGTACACTCTACCTCCAGGGCAACCAAATGTGCATAAGTAAGTGGATGGACACCTTCTGCCCTCTACTTAGGGGCCTGTTTTACATGACCTTCAATCCTGTGCCCATCTTTTTTTTTTTTTTTTTAATTTTTGAATGTACTTTAAACAAAACAAACAAACAAAAAAACCCCCTAAGGTTGTAGAATGAACAAAATTCCTTCAACCTTAGAATCTTAAGTAGGATGCCCTTTCCTGGACTTATTTTAGTCCTTAGGGAGCCAATGTGTGTTGCTGCTTATTTAAAGACAGTTCATTTGAAGCCCCAAGAGTGCCAGCTACTCCCCACATGTCCAGATGCCTTGTCTTCCCAGATACCAGAAGAGTGGGGGTTCTCAGGTGACGTGATGTAGTTTGCCAGTGCCTACTCTATTGAAGAACTACGTTCTCATTCTCAAGAAGAAGCTCATGGAAGGGCGTACTTCTATCACAGGTTCACATTTTCTTCTTCTTTTTTTTTTTTTTTTCAATTTCCCCAGTGCAACTTACAACAAGTAATAATGAAGATTTTTATTTTTCCTTGAGTTGCATGAAGGCTACGAAGTTGAAACAGGCGAGTCCTGGGTGTGAAAGCTTTAATTTATCTACCTCATTTATTTTTTTATGTTAGTAGCCATAGTCTTTATTTTCCTATTTTATGACCGCTGAAGTATTCCCAGGCCCTGTCTTAGACCTAAGAGTTGACGTATTGGTGGGAACAGCCAGACATTCACGATGTCTTTGTGATTCCTTTTTCAAATCCCCTTTCGTGCATGTGATAATGTAGAGCAGAGGCCGAGACACTGCTCTAATGGTTGAATGAGGAAGGAGAAAGAAGGACCCGGCCTTGGGGCCGAGGATTCTTTCCCTCTGTTCGGATGGACCTTGTTGAAACGTGGATCAAGACTGTTACCCAAAGTTTTGTCTTAGTTATTGCACCTGGCTTTAGGATCCAAAAAAGAAAAAGAAAAAAAATATATGTTTTTGCCAAGTTGTGCCTTTCCTTCTGGAATTGTAAGTGAACACAGTCATAGCGCCTGTTTACACTGTGACGCGGATATTGTTACGGAGAACACCCCAGTGGCTCTCACTGCTGAGCTCACAGTGCCTAGTGAATGTGTGACCAATGGAGAAACCCCTGTAGGACCTGCTGATGCTGTTTGTCTGTTGCAAAATAAACTTTGAATGTTTTTTTTCCAGTTACCAGGTGTGTATGTTTTCTGATAGTTTCAGTTCCAAACCTGAGAACTTGACCATCATTTTCAGTTGTCTTGTGACCTTCTGTTTCCTAAAGATACACAGCTGGTTACATCCACACTGGACCTGCTTCCCGGGCATACATGAGACCTTTCTACCTGCGGTTTTTAACCTCACCGCCACTACTTCTTCTTTATCTTCTTTCTTTGGTACTGGGGGTGTACTGTGCAGTTAATTTTTAGGTCTTCCGTTAAGTGTTCTTGCCGTAATTAAACTACATTAAAAGGGAATGGAACCGGGTGTGGTGGTGCACGTCTATAATCCCAGCACTTCTGGAGGATGGCACAGGAGTTCAAGGCCAGCCTCAGCAAATTATTTATTTTTTAGTTATAGGTGGACGCAATGCCTTTATTTTATTTATTTATTTTTATGTGGTGCTGAGGATCAAACCCAGGGCCTTCACATGCTAGGTGAGCGCTCTACCACTGATCCACAACCCCAATTCCAGCAATTTAGCTCAGCAACTTAGTGATACTCTTATCTCAATAAATTAAAAGGGCGGGTAATGTGGCTCAGAGGTAAAGCACCCCTAGGTTCAATCCCAGTACAAAAAAAAAAAAAAAAGAGATGGTGCTGAGAGTCACACAGGAGGGAGTATTTAGTGCAAAGGAAGGTTCTCAGGGTGGTGGAGAACCTATTTTCCCAGCCATGTTTTCAGATGTCTTCCCAAAATCCAACCCATTTCTGGCTAATTCTTTTAAAATATCTGAAATCCCTACTTGCTCTGGGCAGAATAGCTTGCTTCCTGGGATCTCAGGTTACCTTGCATACAAAGCAGATCTAACACTGGGTGCATGGAGTTAGAGTGAGATGGTGTAAGAACTGTTTAGAATTTGCTCCAGCTCTGGATCAAATGGATTTCTCTGGTACTGATGGGGGAGGTCACAGGTTAAAAGGCTGCTGGCAGTGGACACCATCTTTACCTTAAATGTGGTCCAAGCTTATGAACATCCATTTCCTGGCATATCTCACTGTCTCCTGATTGTTGGCTTTAAAAATACAAAATTGAATGGCCAAGCATGGTGTCGCATGCCTGTAATCCCAGTGGCATGGGAGGCTGATATGGGAGGATCATGAGCCAGCTTCAGCAACAATGAGACTAATCAACAGTGAGACTTTGTCTCTAAATAAAATGCAAAATAGGGGCTGGTGATGTGGCTCAGTGGTTGAGGGTCCCTGAGTTCAATCCCCAGTACCAAAATAAATAAAGCAAAAAAGTCTCAGGGGCCAGGCATAGTGGGAGGCTGAGGCAGGAGAATTGCAAGTATAGGGAGGTCCTGAGCAGTTTAGCAAGACCTGCTATAAAAAAGAAAAGGGAGGGAGATGGAATGTGGTTGGGTGGTTAAACAACCCTGGGTTCAATCCCCAGTAACAACACAGAAACAAAAGCAGCAGCATCAGGGGTGTAGCTCAGTGGTAAAGCATTCAAGTTCAGGCAACTAGGAATATTGATTTGAATTTAAAACCGGGCAAAACATGGACTGTAGCCACAGGGCAGATAATGAGCTATATTAGGGGGAAATTCATTTGCATTTCTATAAACAATCATTTGCATTACTATCAATTTTCTGCAACTTACATAGTTGCAAAATAGCTCAAAGGCGGTGAAGGGCACTGCTAATCTTGAGGAGTCCTTGTCATGAGGTCCTTGTTACCTTTCAAGGTCGTTTACAGCTCCTCCAAGAAGTAGGGTTTGTTTCTTATTAACTGTCTCTCGCACCTGGAACATTCTAAGACCTGAGTGATGGCCTCTTCTGTTGGTTTTCTCCTGGTGCTGACTCAGCATGCAAAAGGCCCAGGGATCCATCCCCAGCACCACACACACACACACACACACACACACACAGTTTCCTAGCTCTATATGTTGATTGTAGAAAGCTATTAACCTAAGGTGTTCTTAGTGAGGGGGTGGACAGGATTACCAAGTGTTCAGAGACAAAGGTTTAAAAATTCTTTAACATCACCTATGGCTCTGTGATTCTCAAGCCAGGGATAATTTGCCTCCACCTGACGTTTTACAATGTTTGAACACATTTGTGGTCATCACACTGGCACAGGACTGCCACTCGCATCCAGTAACATCTTTCCATGCAGGATGGTTCTCTAACAGAGACACTCAACCCAATGTCAATGCTGCCAAGGCAGAGAAGTCACTCTGGGGAATACCTAGAGTGTCCATTCAGAGATAATACATTCAGGCGGAAGATTCTAGGCTCCAAGAGGACCTCATGTCCTCTGTCCCCAGCCTCGACTCCTTGCCAGCTCACCACCAAGCACCGCCTCCTTAAGGCAGATCCTAGCAGCCACCGGCCAGCATGGAGGTCTGTGAACTGAGGCTTTATGGGGTCAGAACGGGGAGTCTCAGGGATATTCTGGCCGGTGCCTGACATCATGGGGTATGTTGTGTGAAGTCTATGGACCAGTTTCTTTGGTTTCTGGAAAGCAAAATTCCCAGTCCTTTTCTTTCTTTTTTTTAAATTTTGAAACAGTTCTAGCTAAATTGCCCAGTCTGGTCTCAAAACTTGCGAATGTCCTGCTTCAGTCTCCTGAGTAAACTGGGATAAGTGTGCACCACCTGCCTGGCTAGACTGGCTTATCTTTCAGAGACCTTTCCAGGGGTCTAGGAGTTAGACTTCTTGCACCCAGGGCCTGTTAGTTGGAGAGAGCTGTTATGCACCCCCCAAAGGGGAGCTGTTCCTAAGAAGGCTGAACCATGAGGTGGGACCATGGGGCCAGGAAGAGACACTGTGTCCCTGGAGGCACACCCCTGTCTAACCTGCCTGTTCTGTCGCTGCACAGACCCTGCCCCTCTCCTAGGGTTGGAGGGATTCAGGACAAAAATGAGAACATCTAAGAAGCACTTAGTACAGTGCCTGCCACATGCTCAGTCCTTCCCCAAGGTCTGCTCTTAAGCTCCTACTGTTATTACCATGAACCATATTAAACTGTGTCATTAAATCACATAATGTACCACATTAAATACCTCCAGGAACTGCCCTGGAGGAACTCCTGACCTTTTTCCTGCTTCATGGAACCATCTGGATCTTTCTCACAATGAGATAAAATGAAACAAAAGCCTTTAAAAGTCTTACTTCCGCAGTGACATAAGCCTGTAATCCCAGCAGCTTGTGAAGCTGAGGCAGGAGGATTGTGAGTTCAAAGACAGCTTCAGCAACATTGAGGCACTAAGCAATTCAGACCCCATCTCTAAGTAAAATATAAAATAGGGCTGGGGATGTGGCTTAGTGCTTGAGTGCTCCTGGATTCAATGTCCAATACCTGCCCCTCCCCCCAAAAAAAGAGTCTTGCTTCCTGAGGCAGCCTTGCTGGAAGGCAGTATTTTAAAAATGCCTTCTCTCCTATTAAAAAGAATATTTGGAGAAGCAAAAGCAATAAAAAAACCACCCATGATTCCCCCCTGTTTTATATGCAGGTGTTATTACCTTTGGAGGGGCTTCATAGGGACTTTTTTGGTCTTTAAGATTTTCTGTTTAACAAAAAAAAGTAAAGAAAGTTTCTATGTAGAAATTTTATTTCAGGCTGGGGTTGTGGCTCAGTGGCACAGCGCTCGCCTAGCACATGAGAGGACCTGGGTTCGATTCTCAGCACCACATAAAAATAAATAAATAAAACAAAGGTTTTGTGTCCAAGTACAACTAAAAAATAAACATTAAAAAAAGAAAAAAATTTATTCCAAGAAAACATTATTGTGAAAGTAGTAATATATGTTGACTAGAGAAAAAGTATATTGACAAAATGAAAAGAAAAAAGTTTCATCTGGATGTGCATACATACTAATGCAAAATGTTAATGAGAAAAACTATGAGTCAAGCCTGGGGTTGATTATGGAACATGTGACGGTCTCTTTACTGTCTGCTCTAGTTTTCTGTAAATTGAAGACTACTATGACCAAAAAACAAAACAAAAGACTATTAATTTTGTTTCAAAATCCATCTGGCCCATCCCAGTAGCACATGTTGGTAATCCCAGTGACTGTGAACTTTTTTTTGGAGGAGGGGTACTGGGGATTGAATGCATGGATGCTTAACACTGAGTTACATCTCCAGCCCCTTTTTTTTTTTTTTTGGGTGTGTGTGTGTGTATGTGTGTTTGGTGCTGGGGATTGAACCCAGGGCCTTGTGCGTGTGAGGCAAACACTCTACCAACTGAGCTATATCCTCCCCAGCCCTTTTATTTTTTTATTTTTTTGTGGTGTTGGGAATTCAACCCAGGCTGTGCATGCGAGGAAAGCACTCTACCAAGTGAACTATATCCACAGCCCCTTCCCCAGCCCTTTTATAGAGTTTATATTCTATTTTGAGACAGGTGCTCTATAAGTTGCTTAAGGCCTCACTAAGTTGCCCAGGCTGGCCTCAAACTTGTTGTTCTCCTGCTTCAGTTGCTGAGTTGCTAGTATTACAGGCATGTGCCAACTTGCCCAGCGAATTTCAGAGATAGGGAAACTGTGTCAGAGGGACCATAAGTTTGAGGCCACCCTAGGCAACTTAGTGAGGTATAAACAAACAAACAAACAAATCTATCTGAACTATTTTATCCATTGATAACCATTGATAATACTGGGCATTTATTCTTGGATCGGGGGTGAACAATGTTCATAGCCGGAGTAGTAGCAGTCGTAACAGGTGACTTCCCATGCTCTCATGGCACTGAATACTTCCGACACTCTGTCGTGAGGAGCCTCACAGAGCTTCCTTTGTGCCAGGCACCCTCTTAACATGCATGATCCACTCATGCACTCCTGAGGATCCCGGGAGACTGTTACCATCACTAGCCCCATTTTAAGATCAGGAAGCCGAGGCCCTGCAGATCTCCTAACTTGCCTCAAGCTCCGTAGCTGGGAGGTGGTGGAAGTGACATTAGGACCCTCGATGAGGGGGCCATGC